ATGAACAAGCGGTTCAGATGCCTGAGATCGAGAACTGGCCTGAGCCTGCCATCTTTCTTGGCAACGAGGAAGTAATGGCTGTAAAAGCCTGACTCGCTGTTCACTATAGTAACCATTTTCATGGCTCCTTTTGCAAGCAGTGTCTGCACTTCAGGCCGGAGAACGTGAGCCTCGTTCAATGGTTTTTAGAACCCAACTTGACACATTCGGGATAGCTTTCCAAGCCTGAAGCTGGATGGCAAGTGGTCTGAGTTTTTCTAGTGGCAATTAGAGACTTCTTTGAGAGAGTTCAGGCCTTGGCGAGAACTGACCCTCTCCTCTTCCTCTCTGTGTTTGGATCAGGACAGCTTCTGAGAGACAGGGTCCAACGTCACTCTGACCTTGATGCCTAGGAAGCGGGTTTTGTTTCACCGTCCGGGGGTGCTGCTGAAGCCCAGGCTCAGACTTAGGCTGGGGCTGAGGTGGCGCCAGCTTGGCAGACTGCTGAGAGGATGGAGCCTTCTGGCAACTTGAAACAGGAAGTGACGGCATTGCCTGCGATGACTTCTGTGACGCTGTAAACTGCTCAGCAAAACCATCTACGGCAGGGCCAAACAGTCCCTTGGGAGAGACTGGCGAGTCTAGGAAGGTGACCTTGTCAGCGTCTCTGATCTCCGTCAGATTTAGCCAAAGGTGGCACTCCAGCACCACCAAGTTGGCCATGGCTTTGCCGATCGCCTGCACAGTGGCCTTAGTAGCACGCAGAGTCACATCAGTTGCTGTGCATAGCTCTTTGAAGGTGCGGAGAAGTTTGGCCCAAAACACATGGAGCACTTCCTTTTCCACTGAGGGTTAGGTTTAGGGGTAGAGCTTCATTCATGTTTTTTTATACAAATAGTACATTTCTTACAAATCACACAAATTCATACTAAATCGCCGTTTTGTATAATAGTTATGTTTTGTCTTGAGATCAGGTTGGAACAGCTCTATTATCCTGCCTTCTGTAATCAAATTAAACACACTTGTGGATTGATTTCTAAAACCTCTATCAACCTTGAACAGATAGGTTCAAGGTTACTTTATATCATTCATAATCATTCCTTTATATAATTCAGTATGTTGGAAGAAAAATATTGCCGGCATCAGTGATACTAGGTTTGGCCTTATTAATTCGTGCTGCCGCACACTCACAAGTCACTATTTTAGAGAGGCTATGAATCCAATGTGTTTTTGTACACATGTGCGGTGTAAACCAGTTCTGTGTTAGTCTTCTTTGCAGCCATAAAACCAGCCAACAACATTCTCTTTTGCGTTAAACTTGCACAGAAGTCCCACTGCTGATCATTTTTGATTGAAACACTTTGAATTGTAGTAGCAAGGAGTGTGCTGTACATGGGCCATTTTCCTCAGATGTCGAGATCTCAGATGGAGTCAGATAAAGCTGTTGGTGTGCTGTGTTTCAGATGGAGCAGCGGAGGAGGCAGGGCTGCAGGTTGGAGACTATGTGCTGGCGGTAAACGGCACTGATGTCACAAGTGTGCCACACTCAGAAGCAGCTGACCTCGCACGACAAGGTAGGGTGCACATTCAAAGAGAACATTATTACAGCATTTCTCATGTTTACCCTGATTTGCAGTTTGGAGGAATCAATACCAGCTGAAAGTCAGAGCCAGTCTGCAGATTTTGGGCAGTCAGAAATGGCACATTTCACATGAAACGGTGTAGTGTAGAATGGCAACAGACTCCAATGTTTAGTTTATTTAGTTTTTTTTAGGTTGATTTGTTTCATGCCCAGTTTTTCTCTATAACATTTACATTGACTGGTAGTTGATATGTAGTTATTTATAGTCGACAGAATATCTAAAGTGGACTATCAAAATAACGTGTTACTGGTGCTATTGTATAACTTAATTAAATCATTTTGTGTTTAATTGTTTTATGTGATTTCTGGTTCGAATAATATAGGCCCAGACATTCATTCGCTGACCATTGGCTCGTAGCTCTTTGAAGGTGCGGAGAAGTTTGGCCGAAACACATGGAGCACGTCCTTCTCCACTGAGGGTTAGGTTTAGGGGTAGAGCTTCATTCATGTTTTTTTATACAAATAGTACATTTCTTACAAATCACACAAATTCATACTAAATCGCCGTTTTGTATAATAGTTATGTTTTGTCTTGAGATCAGGTTGGAACAGCTCTATTATCCTGCCTTCTGTAATCAAATTAAACACACTTGTGGATTGATTTCTAAAACCTCTATCAACCTTGTATTGTATAACTTAATTAAATCATTTTGTGTTTAATTGTTTTATGTGATTTCTGGTTCGAATAATATAGGCCCAGACATTTTAACGCTGACCATTGGCTCGGATATTGGTCGAACGCCTAACACTCCACGACCAGCGTGCAGGGGTTACTTGCATAAGCAAACTCAATCCAGTTTGCTGAAAGGCTGGAGAAAGAGGTGGTTCGTGCTCAGACATGACTGCTGCCTCTATTACTACAGAAACAAGCGAGTGAGTGCAGTTTTCTGTTTCATCCCGATAGTTGAACCTGTAAAATCGGAATGTGCATTGACTTACAAAATGTGTTTCTCGTTGACAGGATGAAGGGAAGAGTGGAGCTCTGTCTGCGACGAGTCTGGAAGGAGCGGTGGTGGAGGCCGACACCAGTTTAGGAAAGCCGTTTGTGTTCAGATGCTGTCCTGTCTCTGGAAACCGAGTTTACTACCTGTGTGCAACATCAAACCAAGAGATGAAGAGGTGAGAACATACAGAGCTTTTTAAAATGGAGAGACCACTCTATTTATTTAATTTAAGCAATGCTGGGGACTTACAAATAAAAATAGTCAGACTGTGTGACACTTGTTCAGCTGTTTTCAAAATCGTTGAGCTTTTCCAGTAACAAGCAACAGTACTTTTCCCAACAAGTGATGGAGTAGCATAAAACACTGCACACAGCTTCACAACCAATCACGATGAAACAATAATCAAACATGCTCTCCTGGAATCATCCACAGCAATAGACATTAATTTTTGTTAATTGGTTAGTTGGTAAATAAAGACTGATCAAATAAACAAATTACTTATTTATGGTTCCTTCGTTTATAGCATTTACTGTCTCTGTATCGAACTATTTAGTTAAATGCTGCTGTTCATTACTGAATGTTTTGGTTATAAAATTAGTGTGTTTTCTAGTTTTAATAGTTCTATTTAGTGTAAATTTATTTGTAAGGTTTATTGCTGTCATCCTTGCTTTCATTCATTCAAAAATCCTTGTTTTCTGCTCTTAAAACTGTTAATTATATAGTTTGATCGTTATATATTTTAAAAGATATTGCCTCCTTAAATAGCCAAAAGTATATATGTAGTAGTTATTTTTCATTAGTAGCTTGTAGTGTAGTTAACCACTTTTTCAAGAGAAGTGCTAGACTATTAACCACTTAAAATTACAAGTACACTTAAACATATATAAAAGTACCTGAAAAATATGAGAAGCAACACTGCATATGATATTAAGACTTGTGTTCTTAGATTGTGTCTTGAATGTACCGCAAGTGAATTTTATTAATGTACTGACATATTTTTAAGCAGATTGTTTCTTGTAAAAAATGACTTTTTTATTACAAGTAAACAAATGTGTAAGTGCATGAAGACAAATATAACTCATATTCAAAATACATTCAAGTGATAACAAGTCTTAATATCTTAGAGTGTTGCTTTAAAGTACATTTATCTTTATTTATATTTCCAAGCAGCTTTACAGAAATGTATGACTCTGTGTCTTGAATGTGATAACAGCCTTATATAATAGCCTTATTATAGCAGCCTCCTAATGAACAACCATATGTGTAATATAAGTTGTGTGTTCATCAAATTAATTAAACAAAAGAGCAGTCTACCTGTGATAATCATAAAAAGTGCTCTTACACAGGTAAAAAAGAAAAAAAAAATCAATTTCAGGGGCTGTTAAATGTTAGGATTATGCTCCGTTCTGTTCTGTATCTGTCTGCCTGTCTGTGTACCTCATTAGTGTCTATGGTTTCCTTAGTTATCTATGTTCCCATTTATCATATGTTTTTCATAGTTACTGATTTGGTTTCCCTCATTTTTGATTCGCTTCACCTGTGTCCCATCTAGTTTCCTTCATTTGCTCTATGTATTTAAGTCCTCAGTTTGAGTTAGTTCCCTGTTCAGTATTGTTTATGTCTGTGTTACTGTCTTGGTGTTCTGTTTGCCTTGTACTCCCTTGCACAATCAATTTTGTTTCAGAGGGACTGCCAATACTTTAAGGCGATTAATAATGTACATACCAAAAATCATCTGGTGAATAGCAAATAATGAAAAAATAAGTTTGCAATTGTTTGTTTTTCAGGTGGCTGGAGGCTATGGGTAGAGCGGTTCATCCTATTACTCAGGTAACTTCCTAATCAATTGTGCATGTATTATTTGCTGTGGCATCATTAACCATACCTAAAAGATGGTATTTCTTTACTATTAATGTGAATAAACAGGATCAATTAATAAATCAGTGTCTTGCTAAATTGAATCGCATTGGTTGAAAGAAAGCGATGTTGTTGTGGTAATGCTCATAATGCTAATGATGGTGATTGCTGAAGCAGAATCACGTGTGGATGGACGTCACTCGACACAACTCAAATCTGCCCCCTCTGGCAGTCAAGAACCCAGAATGCCTTGGGTTACTCCACCAGCTGGACAGGACCAAGGACTCATGGGTGCAGCACTACTGTGTGCTGAAAGACGGATGCCTCTATTTCTATGCAAGCATTCGGTCAACCTGCGCGATAGGTACATCTTAGAACTGTTACAGTGCAACTGTTGGAACTGCTGTATTGTTGTACAACTGCTAATGAAAGAAGACTTCATTCAGAGGTCAATCAAGACTCCAGATAAAACAAAACAACTCTATCCTGAAATTAAACTCCCAGTATACACTACATGGGCAAAAGTATTGGGAATTATGAAATTCATGCTCAACTGTAAATGGTATTATTGGCAAGCAGAAGCATTTAGGAACAGCAGCAGCTTCACCACGAAAAGTCAAAGTGCGTGGTCACTCGGGGTGCACATAGTTCATAAAAGTCGCTAATGCTCTGCTGATTCCATAGCTGAAGAGTCCCAAACTTCCACTGGCATTGATTTCAGGATAAAAACTGAATGGCGAGAACTTCATGTAATGGGTTTCCATGGCCAAACAGCTGCATGCAATCCTCACATCACCAGGTACACTCTTAAAAATAAAGGTGCTTCACGATGCCATAGAAGAACCTTTTTGTCTAAATGGTTCCATAAAGAACCTTTAACATCTGAAGAACCTTGCTGTTTCACAAAAGGTTCTTTGTGGTGAAAGAAGATCCTTCAGATTATAAAAAGGTAAGAAAGAGATGGTTCTTTAAAGAACCTTTGACTGAATGGTTCTTTGTGGAACCAAAAATGGTTCTTCAATTGCATCGCTTGAAGAACCTTTTGAAGCACCTTTATTTTTAAGAGTGTACAGTGCCCAGTGTCGGATGGCGTGATGTAAAGCATGCAGATACTGGACTCTGGAGCAGTGGAAACCTATTCTCTGGAGTGACGAATCACTCTTCTATGTCTGCCTTACTTCCAAGTGAAGGGAAAACCTAATGCTCCAGCTTACTACCAAGACATTTTAGACAATACTATGCTTCCAACTTTTTGGGAACAGTTTGGGGAAGGCCCTTTTCTATTCCAGCATGACAGTGCCTCAGTGCCCAAAGCAAGGTCCCTAAAGACATTAGGTTGGATTAATTTTGGTGTAGCAGAATTTGACTTGCCCACACAGAGCCCTGACATCAACCCTATCAAACGCCTTTGGGATGAACTGGAATAGAGACTGCAAGCCAGGCTTTCTCATCCAACATCAGTGCCTGACCTCACAAATGCTCTACTGGATGAATGGGCACAAATTCCCTCGGAAACACTCCAAGATCTTGTGGAATGCTTTCCCAAAAGAGGGGACCAGCTCCATGTTAATGTCTCTGTTGGTCAGGTGTCCCAATACTTTTATCCATATAGTGTATATAAATATGTATACATACATACTGTATAGTTTTATTTATGTTCTTCATATATATTATTTCATGTAAATGTATCCTGTTTTTCATAGTATCTCTATAGCTTTCTTTGTATGACAACTAATAGCTCCCATTTGTCTTATTGCAGGAGGAATCTACTTGCATGGTTTCACAGTGAGGGATCAGCCAGTGGGATCCAGAAGATCTGCTATTGAGCTCAGACCTCCATCTGAAGAGTTTAAAGTGTTCTACCTCTGTGCAGAGAATGCTAATGAGAACAAACGGTAATTTACTTGATTTTGAATAATGTTTAATAATGCCTTTTAAAAGCATTCAACAAGACAAGACAAGTCAATATAGTTTGGTGACAATGTTTTGTCATATCATATTAATTCATTTTAGTCTATTGTGTGTTGACTCATTTTAGTTGACAAAAACAACATTTTTAATTTTTCTTAATTTTGAACAAAATATTTTGACAAATTATGCAAAAATGTATATGCTTTGTGAAAACTTCACTTACATTTTTAGTGCATTTTATTACAATATTTAGTGCAATGCAGTGTTAATATCTTTCAGTGTTTTCTCATCATTTTCATAAATTTCGATCATCATTCATTCATTTTCAATCATCAAAATACTAAATAGGTGTTGAAATGTCATTGCAGGTGGTGCTATGTTCATCTGCTCATGGTTTTGATGTTTTTATGAGTGACCCATTTTTGTATTGTTGTCCATGATATGAAAAAAGTATGAATTTTTGTATTTTTTTGGAAGTGTTTAGGCAGCACATGAAATGGCAGCAATTGTTCTAAAATAATAAATCGGGAATTAATTAACATGGTGAAGTAACATCATCCTTTTTTTCTTCTGTTCTTCCTAGATGGGTTAGTGCAATAAAATCGTCAATAGGAAAATGGCTTCCACTGCATCAGGCAATTCAAGACTACATGTGTCGCCCACCCGAGGAAACAAGAATGTGAACAAGACTGATTACAGGACAGCCTGGAGTTTCTCAACAAGTTTAATTCAGACACGACCATGTTCATACCAGAACATAATGATTTTCTAATTTTCTCTTACAATTAAATCTCTGAATATCATAGTTTCTGCATTTGAAATATGCAAATACATACAAATTAATAGAACAATTAAAAAAATGGAAATTAAATTGATTAAATAATCTGCTGTAGATATTCATGATGGAACCTAAAATAACTCCATGTATAATATTCAAGTGTGACAACACAGCAAGCAGCAAGTGCATGAAGTTGTCACGGCAACCAGACACACTGCATGCTGGAGCATAGAAATATAAATAGAAACCTCAGAACTCTGAGTTACATCACTGTTTTCTCTTTCAAGACTCTAATTTCAAATGACGTCTTGATTCAGGTCCACTTAACCTTTAATGTGTTGCATGTTTCTTTGCATTCAGAGGAAAGTTTAAGAAAGAATGATGGCCTGCATTTCTGTAAACTTTTGTTGTCACACAATTTGAATTCTTATGATCTGTTTCCCATTTTCAAGATTTTCTATGTAATGACAGTGCCACTGTTATTTGTACATTATATGCATTTTCTTTATGTTTTTACTGTCTAGGCCATTTAGTTCGCTTGCGGTAAAATATCTTCCCTCTTGTTTTAGCTCATTTATATAGTTGACGGCAATATTATGACTTTTCCTATTCTTTGTATAACTAACGATACATTTATGGCTTTTTGTATTATTATTTTTATTAGTACTCGGTGATGCTTTTTACAAAATGTAGAATTTTTACAAACTAAGGGAATATTTACACTTGGTCCCTTCATGCATTTTAATTTGTCAGATTAATAATCATCAGATTAATAATGTCCACGTATGTGCCCTGAGCAACCAAATTCATTACACTTGGCTGAAATGCATCTCAGATTACATTCACTTTATGACTGGATAGCTATTTGATCAGTAAAACACATGTAGGGACCAAGTGTAAATATCCCCTTTTCCTTAGAATCTGGTATAGTTTGTTCATTTAAGTGCTTGTATTGCATGTAAATAGCCTATGCAACTAAATAAGCTTGCCAAAATACAGACTCGCATTATGTTCTACCTCACAGAAGTTCTTCTTGTACACAATGAGTTTCATGATTATACAGCTGACTGCAGATTATACATGATTACAGTTGACTGAGTCACTGGGTGGTATTTAATTATTAGCCATTTGTAATGTTTTATTCAGTTGTAAAGTCATACTTTTTACTGAACTGTTGAGGAAACAGGCTTCCATATATAGTTTTTTTAGGCCTATCACACATCATTTCACAGTGGGCTTTTGGTCAAGTAATCAGAAATGTTATCAAAATCACAAATTGCTTTTGTCTGAAATGTATTTCCACATAGAAATTTGGCATTAGAACCTTAAATCAACTTCAAAGCTGTCAAAACAAATTACAGCAAAACAAATAGTATACAATAAAAAAACACAAAAAATGCTTAGAAACACATTTAACATCTGTTTAAAAATACAAAATACATTACAATATAAATAAAATAATAAAACACTGAAATAGAAAAATGAATACTCTAAGACATTGATGTCTTCATTCAGAGAGCCCTAAAGTACATCCATTATACATGTACAGTTTTTGCTCATCTTTTAAGATAAAAACAATTCTGCATCAACGATCTGCTCAGAATGTTTTTACTAGTTATCCATACTCAAGCCACTTCGACCAGTAACATACACAATATAATGGCACTTACATAATGTGAGGCATTATTATATTCAAGTCATCTGTTTCAGGCATGCCGATACATTCTGACATACAGTAGTACATTTGATAAAGAAAGACTTTAACAACATACATGTAACACATTCAGTCATCTTCACAAAGTGTAAATCTGAGATTGATATTGATATACCAGTGTTTTTCTTTTCTTTTTTCTTAGGTGCAACCATAAGGTTCATTGATACCAAACCAGAAATGTGTTCTTGATAATAGACAGAAAATCATCATCAATCATCAATTATTATTATTATTATTAAAATTACCTATCAGTTAAAAAAATGAATAGTGTGGGTGAAAACACACTCATCAAATTACCCATATTGCAATTCACAGCAAATTCATAAAACATTTACACACATAGTTTTTTTTACCCTTAAAAGGGAACTGAAAAGCACCTGCTTATGTAGTCGTTTGGACATGTGTGACCAAGTTAGGAATCTCTGAACTGTGTGAAACAAAAAATAATATTAGGGATTTGCCGGTATCAAATTTTCATGTTGCGATTAATTGCTAATACTAAAGAGTACAGTACAGACAAAGAACCTCTCAAACAAGGATGGAACGGCATCTTTGGCAACTTTTGTGTAAGATATTTTCAGACAAGATCACTTACCAAGATCCTAATACACAGTATCAAAGCACTAAGCAGGACTGTTTCAGTTGTCATTTGGAAACAAGACTAGATTGTTCAGTATCTAAAGCATTGCACTTTCTCTATAGTAAATGAATCAGAAGTCTCACAGGATGAACAGGTCACAGTTTCCAGTTGAAGGCACACTCATTCTCCAAAGCTCGAAACACATTTTTAGTTTGATTTCTCAGCCTTCACTCGAGTCCTGAGTGTCCGTCCATGAGCTGCACGTCAAGCATATGTGCATTCAGAGGTTGTCAGTTTCAGCGCACCCTTACTGTGCAGTGTCTTCAGCGTTTTGAACTCCAGCGGCATGCGGTGGGGTCCCGTACTGGAAAAATAGCGATATTTCAGTCCGTCATAGTAATGATATTTAACAGGATTTCTGTTACCGTCTTTGGGGAAAGGCCAGAATCCATACAAGTGGATTTCATCACAGAAGCGTGTAGCCATTGTGTACATCAATAATCCAGTAGATGGTCGTTTGATATTTATCTTATTTGTAAGCCAGTACCTAAGAAATAAACAAACATTACTAGTTATTACACAGGTATTATTCGCATTATATTTATTAGGATGGTGCCTTGAATATTTTTGGTTGAATATGCCACTATACTCTGATTAAGGTCTGTTGGACTATTTGTAGTCACACTGACATCAGACTCCTGAAGCAAATATTATTATTATTATTAAAGGTTGTAGTGTCTTTTTTGTCCCTCTTATTTTTGTATATTGTTACATCAATTAGCAATCATCATTGCACACATGCAGGCAATAGATAGGTGTGTAAGAAAAAGGACCAAAAAGTAAAAAATAAAAATAAAACAAGCAACAAAAGAAAATCCCGCACACTATCAATACTTGCAAAAAAATATCAAAAACAATTTATTATTGGCAACGTTTTCTTTTGTTACTTTGTATATTGTTACATAAAATATATACTTTTTTTTTAGATTTGTGTGTATGCGGTCTAACAACTCATTTCAACATGCTCTCTTAAAGGGAAGGTACACTTTAGATGATAGTGCTGTTAAATCTTACAATCTTACCAGAAACTAGTTTAAATCAAGTGCCAATTAAGAAATGTATTCTTTGTATTCATGTTGGTTTAATGTGATTTACTGTAGAAAAGCTTTACCATTTTCAAGAAGTTTATGAAATAGAAATTGCAACAAACTTTACGACAAACAAAATGACTACCAAACAAGAAAAAAAGAAGGACAAGAGCTGATTTTATCTATCGGTTGTTGACTAGGTTTGGCCACCGATGGCAGATCTGAATGTGATTGGCTTGATTGTGGTGCAGCCTTGCAAATATGAGACAAGTTAACATTGGTTAACGCACTAGGTGTCATGAAATAACAATAAACAATACCTTTACAGCATTTATTAATCTAAGTTCATGTTAATTTTTTTTTTTTTTTACATATAGATGTTTAACATTTCAGTAGTGGTTGGTCAGAAAAGTCAAGGGAGACTGAGGCTCTTAAAAATATATTGCAAAGGAACGTACAGTAACATTAATCAATTTACTCACTGTGTGTAACTAACGTATTTAAAAATATATATTTTTCATTTTTCTTTCATGTGCAATTTGTCAGGCAAAATTTAAAACTGGTCATGAAATAAGGAATCAATTTTCATTACGTTTATAAAAACTACACTAACTAGCTACAAACTACTATAGTAGTATTAAAACATATAATCATATAAACATATAATCAATGACGCTGTCTATCTCTAGCACACAATTAATTTCTTATTTACATCATGTCATTACATCATGACAGGTCATGATGAGAGGATTCATAAGAGTGCAAAATTTGTCATATAAATGGACTCAATACAATTTATGTTAGTTTAATATAATTTATCATTAATCCAGCATAACATCTATAATACTTTTTTATTTTCATTTATTACATAGCAGTCCCATTTTAAGATTTTTTTTTTTTTTTTTTTTTTTAATTGGTTATCGGTATTGGCCATAACAGGCTATGAATGATCAATTATTAGTATCGGCCATGACATTCCATATTGGTGCATCCCTAAACTAAACAAATGTCTGAAATATTTCACTATGCTCAGAGTGAAGTTTTAATGAAGAAAGCGTAATTTATCACTTTGCATGGCCAAACGGGAGCGAGTGTGGTTTTGCAGCCATGTTTTACTTAACATTCACTCTGTAATATGATCTAGTTAACAATAAAAGATTAATAGTAAATTAAACTCCTATTAAACAAATTAAAAATATTAAAACAGTGTACTGAAAATGCATTCATATTTAAAGTATGCTTTTAAAAGTAGGCTACGTTTACATGATATTTGGAGGTCTTTGATGTGTTTTCAGTATTAACGTCAACGATTAACTGATTAATTGATCTTTAATTTTAAAGACAATATTTTATGAATATTCCTGAAAATGTACATCCTCAATAAATATGTATACATAGGCAACATAAACAGAAAAATAGTGAGTGCACCAACACTGGACTCACACACAGACATTAATATCTACACCAACTCCATTCTGCACAACATCAACAGTTATGTCGATAAAGTATCCACCCATAAAATAGTTAAAACATTCCCCATCAGAAACCTTGGATGAACAAGGAAGTTGGACTCCTGCTAAAAGCACGTGACACAGCTTTCAAATCTGGCGACCAGGAAGCCTACAGTTTATCCAGGGCTAATCTGAAGAGGGGTCTTACAGCTGCTAAACATAATTTAAAACTGTGGATTGAGGATAAATTCAACAACAATGATCCTCGGCTTATGTGGACAGACTACAAACCATCAAACAGCACAGCCCGCCCCCCCCGCAACCAGTAATGCCACCCTCCCAGATGAACTGAACATCTTTTATGCTCGCTTCGATCGTGGAAACACAGAATCACCCAACAAAGCTGAGCTCCCGCCCTGTCACTCTCATGCCAATCATTTGAGAGGCTGCCCCCTAAACTGGACCCATTTCAGTTTGCCTACAAACCCAACAGGTTAACTGAGGATGCCATCACCTCAGCTCTCCACACTGCACTGAATCACCTGGATAAAAGCAACACTTATGTCAGAATGCTATTCACTGACTTCATTTCTGCTTTTAATACTGTGATTCCATCTAAACTGATCTCCAAGCTCACTGATCTTGGCATCAGCCCCTCTCTCTGCAACTGGACCTAGGACTTTCTCACTAACAGACCACAGTCTGTTAGGATTAACAATTATAACTCCTCCATCCTCCCCTTGAACACTGGCGTACCACAGGGCTGTGTCTTGAGCCCAATTCTCTACTCCCTCTTCACTCACGACTGCATACCTCTACATGACTCTAACTCCATAATCAAGTTTGCAGACGACACCACAGTGGTAAGCCTGATGAGCGGCGATGATTAAACGGCCTACAGGGAGGAGTTTCAGCAACTGGCAGTGTGGTGGGCCGACAATAACCTCGCACTCAACACCCAGAAGACAGGAACTGATTGTGGACCCCCGGCGGACTAGGAAAGACTACACACACACCCAAGTAGAGCGTGTGACTAGTTTCAAATTCCTGGGTGTGTGTATTTTTGAGGATATTTCCTGGACCCTCAACACCTCTCTGATCAAAAAGGCGCAACAGCACCTTTACTTGCTTAGGAAGCTAAGAAAAGCTCACCTGTACCCCACATCTTATCAAACTGCATCACAGTGTGGCATGGCAACTGCACTGTCTCAGACCAGAAGGACCTCCAACGGGTTGTTAAAATGGCCCAACACATCACTGGTGTTCAGTTACCCTCCATCACAGACACTTACCTCAAATATATAAATATCTACAGCATCATCTGTTATTATTGTTGCACATTCCTTTGTACATCTACCTCATGATGCCTATTGCACTGTATATGGCCACTGACCGCATGTTTATATATTTACAAATACCTCATTCTGAATAATGAACCTTCTGTGTTTTTTACTTCTCATTTGCACCGTACTGTATCCATATTGCACTGTTAATGTTAATGTAGATTTAGAGTGCACCTTGTACTGTATTTCATAGATAACTGCATTGAGCTGGTCTCTGCACCTGTCCCTCACAAATGTTTATTACACACACACACACACACACACACACACATACTGTATATGTGTGTATATATATATATATATATATATACATACACTTATTTATACACAATGGGCATTTGCACTTCTGGTTAGATGCTAACTGCATTTCATTGGCTCTGTACTTGTACTCTGCACAGTGACAATAAAGTTGAATCTAATCTAAAGGATGTTTTGTTTTGTTTTTCATGTTAGCATGTTACTTCAATTAAAGAGCTAAAATTTTGTAATTACTCTGAAAAGTGTTTGGCACTCTTTTTTTCTACTTCAATTAAAATTGAATACTGGAATTTTTTATTTTATGACTCACCCTCGTACAGCATGGATAAGGCGGAGTGAAGGATATGCTGTGCGCACTTTCAGTTTGTGTTTAAGAATGAGCTCGTTCACAATTTCCACGTGCCTCTCTCCACCCTTCACCATGAAGGCAGGAATCCAGAGCACGGTGTTGTTTAGCTGCTGTAGACGCCGGATGAAACTCTCCTGCTGTCTTTCGTCCCGCAGACCCCCAAACACCCGCGGGATCACAGAGGGGTTCATAGTGGTGAAGTCTGACCTTAAACCCACATCATCTGCAAACTCCTCTAGTGGAGCGAGGTTACATCTGCTCCAGAATGAAAGAACAGGCAAATGTCAGAGCCAGGGCCCTTCGAAAATAAGTGGAAATTAAAACAAATAAATTACAATTTAAGGAAGAAACTGAAAATAAAACTTTTGAAAAATAAGCCTAACACCCTTCCAAATCCATATGCCTTACTTTTTTTTTGGAGCACCACAAAACCATCATAAAAATCCTATTCAACCATGTGCAACATAATTCAGAGTGTTCATACGGTATATTTGAATTTAATGCATTTGCAGATGAGATTTGAAGGAAAGATTATCCGTGAATAACTACTTAAAATTCAAGTTTGTTCCTCACACAAAGCTATAGTTTGGCTACAAAAGACTTGAATTATAGTGCACAAGTTATACGTCACACATACTATTATGATGTTTTTGTTTTGTTTTGTTTTTTTTCTGTCACTGTTAGCATTTAACAGCCTCAGTCGCAATTACGAAAGCACTGTGGACATTAAAGTTTCATGAAAGAAAGTCATACAAGTTTGGAAGTATTATCATTAATTAACTGAAATAAAATAAAATATTTTAGAAAATTTTAAATAAATTTTATTTCAGCTAGACAGCTCATTTTCGTTTAGTTTAACTATTTTAGTAAGTACTAAAATATCTAAAACTAAAAAACATGACAAAAACACAACAAAATTACTAAAACTTTGAAAAGAGGAAATATAAAAATAAAATCTAATTCAAAATATTAACAAAAACGGTAAGACTTTACAATAAGGTTCATTAGTTAACATTAGTTAACTACTTTAGTTAAGGGGGTCATATGATGCGATTTCAAGTTTTCCTTTCTCTTTGGAGTGTTACAAGCTGATTGTTACAGCATTTATTAATCTTAGCTAATGTTAATTTCAACATTTACTTATGCATTTGTTGCAAAAGTTGTGCTTTTTAACATTAGCTAATGCACTGTGAATTAACATGAACTAACAATGAACAACTGTATTTTCATTAACTAACATTAACAAAGATTAATAAATACTGTAATAAATGTATTGTTCATTGTTAGTCCATGCTAGCTATTACATTAACTAATGGAACCTTATTGTAAAGTGTTACCACAAAAACTATAACTGTATCTAAATGAAACTACAACAACACTGGTTTGGAAAGACATGATGGTTATCATTTTCAGTTTGGGGTGAAAATATTACAGTACTACAGAATGTACAAGTCATGAAAAACTTCTAAATTGCTTAGAGCTTTTGTTCCTGGTTCAGCTTTCCAAAAATGGGATCAAATAGTATTCAAGCCAAGTTACCAGCAGGAAAACACTGATACAGTGAGAGATAAATGACCATTTAGACCTTATTAGACTCTGTGCCTTGCCATAAGACCGTAATAATTAAATTACAGCAAAGAAGTAAATACATTACCGTATAACAAATCCATGGCTGTCTATCTCCTTCCCACATCTGCTCTTTAGGAGAATGCCTGAGTTTCCCACCACGGCACATGTCTTGAACGTCTTGTTCTTTAGTGGAGAGACTTCAGGAAGTAAACTGTGTAGAGTTTGAGAAATATTGAATGTCCTGCGTCGGTCCAGAACGTAGTGGACTGTATCGCCTGGTTTAAAACTGCTCTTGACAACAGACACGTCTCTCTCCGCATCCAAGAAGCGAAGTACGTCCTTCCTTTCCACGTGTTGAAATGAATAAACGGCACAGATTACTCATTAGTTCATAACCGAATTAATGCAAAACATACTCTAAAAATGACCCTGTGATGTCATGCTCTGAGCAAGTCATAGGACAGTCTATTAAGCAATATCTCTAATACTCGTCCCTCTCAAATCTGTGCTTTATGTACATGTTACCGCATGAAGCACATGAAGCAAAACCTTTTTATACAGTGCAGGTTACTCACCTTATGATGGTCACAAGGGTGGCATTGATCTTCCATCCCACTCCCATGTCACTCAGATCATTTAAAGCAAAGCCGAAAAGTTTCCCAGAGCCGTTGACCATCAGTCTAGTAGAACTTGGCCCAGACTTCCTGTTCAGATGGCAGTGTGAGAAATATTAAATATACGCACTTGTACTGATACTTGTATTGGGTTTGATATTGTGTTTGTGTAGTCAAACTCATTAATATACACTGATAACAAAAAGAAAGAACCATGCCATGTTCATTACTGGTATCCATCACGGTATCAGATATTTAAAAAAAAAAGCCTTGTCTTAAACAACCAGTTTAAGACATGTTGCCATTGGACTCACAGAAATATGACCCAAACAAACCTCTTTCCAGAGACCTTGGCATATGTTACAGGTCTTCTGTATTGGACTCTTTTGTATTTTGTATCTGTCTTCTCTTTTCCTCTTTTCTTGCTTGGTTTCCTCGGTTATTGATTGTTTATATAAGTGTTATTTTAGTATCATTAATCATTGTTAATATTTTGAGTTAGATTTTATTAATTACCTACATTTAGGTATGGAGTGGATTAAGGGTCTAAAATATGGTCATGCAGAATAAGAGATTAATATGTGCTTTATAAGTACTAATAAACAGCCAATATGCTAGTAATATGCATGCTAGTAAGCAACGTTAATAGTGAGAATTGGTTCTTAAAACAAAGTATTATCTTTATTTTTAGATTTTCTGTTTTAATTTTAGTTCTAATTGATTGCGGCAACGTTTCGACCATCAGGTCTTCGTCAGGCACCAGTCGTCAGGTGCCTGACGAAGACCTGATGGTCGAAACGTTGCCACAATAAATTATTTTTATGGAGCATTTACATCAGTGTGTGGACAATATGTTTGTATTTTTGCTATAGTTTATCATAGCAATACTATGCCAATACATCCACAACATGCTGCTGTGAGCATGTAAGAAATACTGCTGCTGCAAATATAACATACATGAAATAACCCCCATACAGCATTCATGAATCACCTCGTAGCAGGTGGAGCTGGGGAAGGGGGAGGGTTTCTGAAGCAAGTTGCAACTGCTACAGTAAGCACTAGTCATATATTTGAATGTTGAGCAGCGAGCTCATTGGCTACCGATACAGGAGAGAACCAATCAGCTGTGCCATGTGATAATGATGTCATTAGGTCAGATTGAGTTAGACCTATCGGACTGCGCCATCTAGAGTTTCATGCCAGAACTCTGCATTTCAAGTTTTAGTAGTTTTGTTTTGTGTTTTTGCCATTTTTATTATTTTTTGTTATTTTAAATCTGCATTTTTATTTTTTGTTATTTTAGTACTTCGCCTAAATGAAAATTAGAAATGTTGCCTTGCAACTAGCTGAAATCAAATAAGTTTAAGTTTTTTTTAAATATATTTTATTTCAATTAATGTTTATTTCAAGTAATGAAAATGTTTTATTATTGGTTTTGGTTTTAGTTTCAGTTAACAGTGGTAACCCTGGTCATCTGTTTCTTGTTCTCATTATCCAGTATATTGTGTTTTAAGTTGTTATTTGTCCAATCAGGTTTTGCTTTGTCTGTGTTTTTGTAAGATTTTGTGGTATATTCTCTGTATGCCTATGTCACTGAGTTTTGTTTTTGTTCATAAACACATCTTGTGTTTAAATTCACGCCTCTTACACTCCTTTATCTACTACGCCATTACAGCAATGCAGTGCGAAAAATGATTCTCTTACTCAGTATTTTTGTCGTTTTCCAGTACAAATATCTAAACATTCTTAAACCATGATACATTTACTGGAGAGGCAATGGGATAACAATAATAAACTTAATTGAATTTTGTTATTCTTACCCCATTGGCAGAATTTTTTTATTTCATTTTTTTATTTTTTATTGTATTTATTTATTTATTTTGTAAGCGTATCCTCATAAGACTACAGAGGATAGTCCGGACTGCTGAGCGAATCATTGGTACAACCCTCCCTTCTCTCCAAGAACTGTACTCATCCAGAGTGAGCAAAAGGGCTGGCAAAATCACTCTGGACCCCTCACATCCAGCACACTCCCTCTTTGAACTGTTGCCATCTGGTCGACGCTACAGAGCACTGAGCACCAGAACGACCAGACACAGGAACAGTTTCTTCCCCATCTCATGAACACTTGACAATAACTGTGGAACACACACTATTTATACACTCATACACTTATTTATCTAACACACATACTTAGCAGCATCATGTGACCCCTTTAACAATAATCGTGGAACACACAACACTAGTATACATTATTTATTTAACACACATACTTATTTACATTTCAAATTTGCACATATCATACCTGAACATACAAAATTGTCTATATTATATATTGTTTTTGCTTTTTCGTACATTGTCTATTTTGTATATCTTTATATTATTCTTTTTATTATCTGTGTCCTGTCTTGTCACTGTCATTCTGTTGCACTGTGGAGCTTCTGTCACTAAAACAAATTCCTCGTATGTGTAAACATACCTGGCAATAAAGCTCATTCTGATTCTGATAAACTTACATTTTATACATTTTTCAGACAACGAAACGTAATCTTCTGTAATTTTGCTTTTATCTTGATTTAATTTTTTTGATATTTGTACTGGAAAACAAATATTATATAAGGAAATTTACTAGAAGTGCTTGTTATTCAGTTATTAAGAAAAAAAATTTTCTCTGAAAAGCAAGTTTGTACAGATCTGCATTTTGGAAATGAGCAAACTGTCGCTGCAAGGCATCAAAAGATTTATATCATATGAAATCAAATCGAAACCTACGAGAAGACTCAACTTCAGATGCAGTTGACATTTACTGTGAGTTTTTTTCCACTTCTGTTTTTAAATCATGCGCAACGAGTCTGCAAGAGACTAAAGGAAACCACATCTGATGAGCAGAAGCTGTCTGCTGTCCTCTCACTTACCCGACAACACACAACTCTCACACTCATGCACACACACACACACATCAGAACCAAATAACCTCTATACTGTATATATACTACATGTGTGTATTGTATCACAAGTTCTTTTGGCACTGAACTAAAATTCATCAACTCATCTGTGGTGAAAAACTAAAATTGCCCAATGTTGTGTGTGTCAATTCCAAAGTGAAGCAAATTATAAGCAAGTATGACCGTGACCACATTTTTTTCAGTTCCCGGAACAAAACAAGTGCAAGTGTGTCAGTGAATCATCTAGATTTACCTTGCATTTCAACCGTAAAACGCTTTTGACACACACTGAAGCAAGGATTTGACACGTCAATGACAGAAAAGAGTATCAAGAAAAAAAAAAGAAATAAATAAAAATAAAGTGAAAAATGGATGTAGGTTTATAGGCCCTTTTTAGATTTTAGCCAATTTAAAAAAAATACTTTTAAAAACAGTAACATATTTTAAAAGAATATAATTAAGTGCAACCTGAATGTAATGTTTTCTGACACTTAATGTACAGGAGCCAATCATTTCAGATACATGCTAATACTCTTTCAAATCGAATCAGTTGCGATGAAGAAATATGATTTGAAATATGATTTGATTTTCCATTGGCTTTCAGATTATTGCAGAGAATAAGCTCTGTGATCAACAAAAGTTTATGAATCGCAGCCTATACTTGTTTTGTTAATCATGATGATCTTCACAAATAAACACAACATTTATAAATTTGGAAGCCTGAATACAATTGGCAGAAGTAAAAAGCTAAACGTACAGTAGGCTGTAAATGAACTACACCACATTCACATGACTTCAGCGTCACTGTCACTAAAAGCTTCTGACTCAGACCTTTCTCCACAGACCTTATTTAACCAAAAACCCACTGACTTCAGGACGATGGAACTGAAAGTGCTAAAATGATAACTAATTTCCGGTTTTGGCCCACAAAAACATAATATCATCCCCGCATCACTCAGCTTTTGGGATCTGAAGGAATGTTTGGACTTGGTAATTGTGACGCTTGATGTCAGACTGGACAGGCTCATTTGAGATAAGCAAAATCTGCCCAGAACCAATCAGCACGAGAAGTAGGCTATATCAGTGGAATGCGTCAATCTCATTCCACAATCGCAAACTAAGTAGGTACTACATCTGATGAGAAATGATCTTCATGACTATTAAAAAATTATGATCTTATATCATATAAATTTGTACCGTATGAATGAAACCTGGACGTACTACATCCATGACGTTACTGTCATTTAAAGTACACATGCTGACCTCTGCCAAAAAAACTCTCTCCCTGACTGCACTGTTGGGGAAAGTTACTTTTAAAAGTAATGCATTACAATATTGCGTTACTCCTAAAAAAGTAACTAATTGCATTACTTAGTTACTTTTTATGGAAAGTAATGCTTTACGTTACTTTTGTGTTCGTTTTTCTCATCTGAGTTGGGTTTGCTTGATTGTTTTTAATATAAAAAAGTTATATTTTTGGCAAATGTACCTGGCCTTTCACACCAGAAGTGAAATGCATGAGCCTCAGGCTGAAGGAAATGTAAATTCACGTCTGTACAGTAGAGGCCGCAGCTCAAACAAACCTTTCAGCTGAGCTGCTGTTCTGGATTGCAAGAAGAACAAGACGCAGAGAAGAACGCTCAACACTCTTCAGCAATTAAAAAAATGAAACACAAATGTTATGCTTAACTAAAAGTCATTTTTGCTTATTAGTATGGTTGAACTGGATCATTGAAGGTCTGCAGCAAAGTCATTGGTTAATAAAGCTGGATTAAATACATAAAGGACATTTGTGCTATTTAACATATTGCAGATTTGCATCATACTCTGAGTTTGCATTTCACAGTTTTTATTCATTTTGAGGAATACTGAATCAGTTTTTGTGCTAAATGTTAACATTTGGTCTAGATCTACAGTAACATCATGTTCACACCGCGCACACAACAACTCTGCACTCACTCCTGATTTCTCTCAACATGGAGACAAGAGAGCTGTCAGTCAATAGGCTACATGAGAAAATAAATGGGCTTTCCTTTTTTTTGTAAAAGTAATTTTCTTGTAAAAGTAACGGGCATTTGGCTTCTCAAACGAGCCTTTGATTCATCTCAGTGAATCGAGTCTTTTAAATTCTTTCACCAAA